CCATCCACCCCCCCCCCCCCCCCCCCTTTGTTGAAAGAAAACAGAGCTGTGGCTAGTGAAATGAAAGTTTAACGTCCTACTGTTTTGCTCTGAACTGGGCTAATGAAGATGGGCATACGCCATACAGTGTGCTATGTGGGAAATTTTGCCCGGACAGTGGCACTACGGCCTTCTCTTATATCGAATTCTAACTTCAAGGGCTCTTGTACGTGCACGCCAATGTGTACATGGGACCTCATTTTTTTGTCCCATTTTAATGACTAGACAGCTGTCTTGTCTAGCCCTCTGTCCTGCATCACTGACAAGGGAGAACCACGCCCGAAAATCTGGAGTAACTTTCTCGGCCAATGCAGGGATCGAACACCCGACCTCCAGACTAGATAGCCAGTGTCTTACCGACTTAACCAACGTGATCCCCGTTGTGGCTACAATTCCTGGATTTGAAGGTCAGGTATGATATGAAACGAATATTTTGAACCGGTTATTAAAGTCACCTAATGAAACTGACGAAGAAACAAATGACAAAATGAAATGAAGTTCACATTCATCGATTTATTCCAAATGATCGTTAGACTAAGTAAGGCACAGACTGACCATTATAAGGGTAAAATGATACCCGGGGTCAAACAGCAAAGTTACCACAGCATCACAACCAAGTCAGTAACGGGTAAATCCTCCTCTGTTTGCCAAACAAGCATTGATCCGACGTGGCATACTCCTAATGAGACGTCTAAGGTCATTTTGGTCCAGATTGTCCCATTCCTGTTGCAACGCAGCAGCAAGTTCTTGGACATTGGCAGGACGTTGTTGACGTTGACGTAACCTCTGTCCAAGCAGGAGAGGTCGGGACTCAGTGCTGGCCATGGTAATGTGGTGATGTTCTGTTGTTGGAGGTAACCTGTAACGATCCTGGCCCTGTGACATCTTGCGTTGTCATCCTGGAAGATGAAACGGCGGCCATGACGTCGTGCGAACGGCACAACATGGACTGCCAAGATGTTGTCCCGGTAGTACTGGCCTGTAACACGCCCTGCAACAACATGTAAAGCCGTTCTTCCAGCAACAGTGATGCCTCCCCACACCATAACAGAACCACCCCCAAATCGATCATGTCTGATGACGTTAACGTCTTGGAAGCGCTCGTTTCGACGACGCGACACCCTCCTACGTCTGTCCAAAAAATCAACAGTGAACCTTGACTCATCTGAAAACATCACATTGCTCCAGCGTCGATTATCCCAGTGTTGACGATCCCTACACCAACGACGTCTTGCCTGAATGTGATGATCTCTCAAACAAGGGATCACGCGAGGACGTCGGGCGCGAAGGTGACCCCTATGCAGTCGATTCCGAATCGTCTGGCCACTCACTCTCACACCAGTGTCTGTTTGAAGACGAGCGCTGATCTGATTTGCTGTGATGACACGATTTCTCAAGGCCAAGGTACGGATAAATCGATCCTGGGCTTGAGTTGTCGCCCTTGGTCGACCTGAGCGTGGTCTGTCCTGTACAGATTGTGTATCACGGTATCTGGACCATAGCCTGCTTATGACAGACTGAGAAACATTCATCGTCCGCGCCACAACCGCCTGTGTTGTGCCGATCTGTAGCATGCCAAGGGCACGTAACCTTTCATTTTGGGTAAGCCGACGCATATCAAAATTTGTTTTCCGGTCACTAAAACAATTAAACGGATGTTTCCACCCTGGAATTCAATGCCACAATGACTGTAACATTCAAAGTCAGAGTCGTGCAAATCTTGGGTTGGACCCCCATGATGATCCCAAGCATCACCTGCATTCCATGCGGTAGCTATTGGTGCGTTTGGGCGTCACATGTAACTGGAAATGTTTCTTCTGTTAGGTTCTATAGTGACTTTTTTCGTAGTCATTTGCATATTTTAGTATTATGCCCCCAAAATCAAATATCCCCTACTTTTTTTGAATAGTATACTTGTCGCGGGTTTTAAAAATAGAAATATATATATAAAGGTAGCTCAAAATTCATCTCTACATGTACAGAGGCCAAGGGGCGATCATGTGGCTAAGTGGGTAAGACGCTGACTCGCTAGCCTTGAGGTCGGGTGTTCGATCCCTGCATTGGCCGAGAAAGTTCATCCTGATTTTCCGGTGTGGTTTCCCATTGTCAGTGATGCAGGACGGAGGGCCTGACGAAGACAGCTGTCTAGTCGTTTGGATGGGACAAAAAAAAACAAGGTCCAGTGTACACATTGGCGTGCACATAAAAGATCCCCTGGCAGTTGGAATTCGATACAAGAGTAGGCCATAGCGCTGCTGCCCGGGCAAAATTTCCCTCATAGCACACTGTATGGCGTAACCTTTTGCGTCTCTTCAAAATATTTCAAATCTTTTGTCATGGATCAACCATTGCAAATATCCGTGTTACAATTATATTTGAAATGTGTTAAACCAATTCTGCAACACATGTAATATTGGTATAGTATATATCTTTGTTTATACACCCACATATCAATTTTGGCCCTGTTTGTCCGTACACTGGGTGTGAAATGTGAATCATTCCGATTGTGAGAGGACAAGCATTATCAATATACAGCTTTTCAGGACTTTGCTTTCCTTGGTTAATTATCCCTAGTCTAGTCGTTTGGATGGTACGAATGATCGAGGTCCTGTGCACACATTGGTGTGCACGTGAAAGATCCCTTGGCAGTTTGAATTCGATATAAGAGTAGGCTTTAGCGCCGCTGTCTGGATAAAATTCCATAATAGGACACTGTATACCATATTTCCATGTCATTAGCCCTGTCGGAATAGGACATTAAACCCATTTCATTTCACTCATTCCAAAGTTAACTTCTATTCCATCAATACCTTGAGCAAATAAGATAGAGGCTATAGGTTTTGGCCCAATTTGGTCAATATCCCAGTTTTTTCTTTCTTATATGCATATCAACACTTTCATAGCGCTAATGTAGACCTTTTTCTTGAACATTTTCCCGTGTCAGTGATGCCGGACAGAGGACCTGACATGGATGGCTGACTAGTCATACGGAAGTGACAAAAAAACCAAGGTACAGTGTAAACTCAAGTGTGTGTGTGTGTGAAAGATCCCTTGGCAGTTGGAATTTTATATAAGAGTACGCCATAGCTCTGCACACTGTGTGGCATATGCCCGTCTTCATTTCTCAAACAGCTGTGGATAAAAACTGTTAATATTTAAATGTGTATTTTGTATTTTATAACATTATATTTTTGTCTTTTAAATAAAGTATATGTATACATACTTGTAGTATATTTTGTCATATAATTCTGCTAGATTTTTAACTTTTCTGTGCAATACATTTAGAATTCTGACTGGTTATGGGTAGATAGAGAGCAATGGGGTAAAACATCCAATAGAAATAAACTGTCCTTTGGGACTAAGTGATTCAATTCAAGTTGAATAATTCATCCGCACCAGGAATCTTTAGTAGTAGGAGGACCCAGAGAAAACCCATGTTCAAGTTGGGTGTGGAAACAAACCACTTGACTCAATGACAGACCTTATGATCTAAAGCGCACACGTTGGACCACTCAACTTTTAGCCTCACCCACGGGTCAGGAAAATTTGATTATTGGTTGAATGTACTTCCCATTTACTGCCGCAAATAATGAATAATTTTGAAGGTTTTAATGCTCATCAAAATTTGACTTTAGAATTGCATCCGTAAATGATGTTAATTTAATGTTAGATTTACGGTATAATGATCGGTTAGATATCCATCATTTTGCTCATCCTTTTAACGACAATTTAACGTCAGGAAATGACGTTAATCTAGCGTAAAGTTTACGTCATTTTTACGTTATATTTACATCATTTTCTGACGTAAATCTAACGTAAAGTTTACGTCATTTTCTGACGTAAATCTAACGAAAATGACGTAAACTTTACGCAAATTTTACGTTAGATTTACGTCAGAAAATGACGTAAAGTTTACGTTAGATTTACGTCAGAAAATGACGTAAATATAACGTAAAAATGACGTAAAGTTTACGTTAGATTAACGTCATTTCCTGACGTAAAATTATCGTTAAAAAGATGAGCAAAATGATGGTAAACTGACTGACCATTTTTACGTAAATGTAACGTAAAATTAACATCATATTGTTATGTGGGGTATGTTCCGTTCTATACTTGATACAACTAGTATCTCTACATCTATGAGAGTCGTGTTGATGTAACAATTTACAAGTTCACTGGTTTATATTTACCTAGTATTTTTAAAGAACTGTGTAAGGTGCGCTTTAGATCATAAGGGCTGTCATAGAGTCACGTGGTGTGGTTTTGATCGGAGCATGTACCGACAAGGAGTAGGGTCACCTGTCCAACCTCGCGTTTTTCTCCTGGTCTTCCGTTTAATGGACGTTAAACCCTAGTTCTTTCTCAGTGAGGAACTGTGTTATTGTCATTCCCCATAGCACCTTCTTTCTGTCTGTGTCCACCAGCCCTAACAACATCTTCAACACGATAGAAACAGAAAGTAGGGTTTTAGCATTGAACGGAATGGTGGTTTTGTTGTCCCATGTCCACCGATCAGCAGCCGCGTACAAGGAAAGGGGAAGGAGGTAGACGGACTAGGTCATGGAATCTGGTAAGATGGAGAGGTGGAGGGGGGGGGATCAAATATCCAATCAAAGAATTTAAATTTGGCCTACAGTCCAACATGCTGGTGTGAATGTGGATCGGTGTTATCAATAAACGAATCCATCTGTTTTTGTATATATTCAAAATGTCTTGTCTTCTCACATGTTTCAGTACTCGACCCTGTGTTTAAGTCAAGGAATTTTCCCCAAGCATCAACAAACTTCTGTACGCCACTGGTCAACCGAGCATCTCAAACTAGAGATTCAACGCATGCGCTTAGTTTACAGCTCTCTTTCTGATATTTATATTCGTCTATGATTATCATATCTAAGAAGAGAGATATTGTTGTAATAATATTTACAAGTAGGGACTGGTTGTTTATTTATTTTCTATTCCAGTTATCAACCGTTAACCACAATACCTACAACATGTATAATATACATGGTGATTGTCAAGCTGTACAGATTGGAACATCAAACACATTCACTGAAACTAGTAACCAGAGCGACCCGGATGATCGCACTTCCGATATGGAAGATTTCCAGACCGACAATGAGGAACAATTTGAACGAAAAGATGAAGAAATAGCTGAATTGAAAAATAGGGTTGCTGACCTGGAAGAATTTAAGAAGAAAGTAGAACAATCAGAAGTCAAGACAAACACCAACACTAATACTAGACGTTATATCAGGGATACGAGTAATGATATTACTCTAGAGTTGGTAGACAGGTAAGTAAATGTGTTCATAATAATATATATTTTGACAACTGTCAAATTTTACATACTGTTACAAGAGTCTTGAGTTTTAACTTATATCGAATGATAAAGTTTCTATATCACGTGACTTGAATAATAACCAACTAGAGGTGACTTGAATAATATACTGACTAGTGAAACAGTGGGATGTACTTTACAATATCCATAGTCAAAATAGTATTATATATTTAATAGTGTATTTAATAATAAAGGCTCAAGACAATGATTTTATCAATAATTTATCATTTAAATAATTTATAATACTCGTGTTTCTAAGGTTTACAAAGATGATTATTGATAATGATATATTAACCTGTATTTATATCTATGGTGGCTGATTGGTAAGGAAATGAAATAAAATGAAATGGGGTTTAACGTCCAGCTGTTCTGCTACGGGAGTCACAGTGGCTAAGTGATTAAGGCGCTGGCTCGCTGGCCTTGACGTCGCGGGTTCGCCACCGGTGTTGGTCGACAAAGTTCATCAATATTTTCCGGCGTGGTTTCCCGTTGTCAGGGATGCAGGAAGGAGGGCCTGACAAGGACAGCTATCTAGTCGTTCGGATGGGACAAAAAACCGAGGTCCTGTGTATATATTGGCGCGCACGGAAAAGATCCCTTGGCAATTGGAATTCGGTATAAGAGTAGGCCGTAGCGCGGCTGTCCGGGTAAAATATCCCTCATAACACACTGAATCGTATAAACCCGTCTTCATTAGCCCAGTCGGAGCAGAACAGTAGGATGTTAAACTCTATTTCAACTAGTTTCATTCTGCTCCGACTGGGCTAATGAAGACGGACACGCCCTATACAGTGTACTGTGAGGGAAACTTTACCCGGATAGCGGCGCTACGACCTACTCTTATATTGAATTCAAACTGTCAGGGGGTCTTATACGTGCACGCCAGTATGTAAATGGGGCCTCGGTTTTTCGTCCCATCCGAACTACTATACTACTGTCCCTTGCCAGCCCCCCCCCCCCCCCGTCCTGCACCACTGTCAAAGAAGAATCTCTCCAGAAATGTGGCTTAATGTCCTACTTTTCTGGTAGTCACGGTGACTCTTAGAATAAGACGATGGCTCGCTAACGTTGAGGTCTTGTGTTCAATCACTGCATTGGTCGAGAAAGCTCATCGGGGATAACGTATAGTCTTTTGGGTGGGACGAAAAATCGAAGTTCCGTGTACATATTAGCCAGCACGTAAAAGGCCCCCCTGACAGATAGAATTCAAGATAAGAGTAGGCCTTAGCGCTGCTATCCGGGTAAAGTTTCCCTCACAGTGCACTGTATAGCCTATGCCCGTCTTCATTAAGCAGAACAGTAGAACGTTAAACACAATTTCATTTCATTCAATTTTCCTACTTTTCTGCACCGATCGGGCTATTGAAGATAGGCATGCGCAATGCAAAGTACTATGACGGAAATTTTCAATTTTCGAAATTCAACTGTGAAGGATTCTTTTATGTGCTCGCCAATTTGTACACAGGAGCTTGTTTTTTGTCCCATCTACACAACTAGACACTGTACTATGTCAGACCCGTCGTCCTGCACTACCGACAGGGAGGAGCCACGCTGCAAAATCCCGGGGAACTTTCTTGACCAACACCAGGATCAGTGTATATAATCATAGTATTGAGAGGAATATGGCCGATAACCCAACATCACAACATGATACCAATCAGCCACCATATATATCAGTTGATAATGATATAATATATTAACCTGTATTTATATCAGTTGATAATGATATAATATATTAACCTGTATTTATAGATGGGAAGATATGGGTACTATAACTGTCAGTAAGAAAGTCAGTGTTAATGATTTAATGAAGTTGATAGAAGAGAAGAAGTATAGGAAGATTAGTCTGATTTGTATAGTAGGATATAGAGATGGTAGTAGGACATCTATCTACTACAGTAGCAACCAGAACGACTGTAGCCTGGAACAATTTGGTGTTGTAGACCAGGACGAGGTTTACTATTTATAGTAAAATATAGTGATTATATTGATATGATGTATTTATGGCCTCCTTTATATTGAACAATGAGGTGTTGAGGGGGGGGGGGGAGATATTACTTATAGTAAAATATAATGGACGAACCAGAACGAGGTTAGGTATTATTATCTTATTGTCTCTTGATTAGGTTGTGAGGGTGGAATAAAGTAAAATGTTTGAGTGGTGTTGTGGGTGATGTGGTGTGGTGGTGTGGGTGCTAAGTTAGTGAAGAGATTTATCAACCACACCAGCACCCTAGTATTTAACCAAGTATCTTATACCCCCTTCCCCCCCAACCCCCATGATTGATATATTGAATCTTACTCTAAGTAATATCTTACCTGTCCCACCTGTTCCACCTGATTGATATATTGAATCTTACTCTAAGTAATATCTTACCTGTCTCACCTGTCCCACCTGATTGATATATTGAATCTTACTCTAAGTAATATCTAACATCCTAATATAAAACTCGCTTACTACTGTAAATAAAGCTGTAATTCAATAGTCACGATTATCAGGTGATATGTAGTCGTGATCATGTGATAACTAACTGACATGTATATAATATATAATTATATTAGTGAAACAATGTTTTATATTTTGTATTCTAATTTTGTTTCAATAAAATATTTTATAACTAAACTAATGTCGTTCTACTAATATTTCTATGGTGTCAGGAAATGAGATAGTTACCACTAACAGAGGGGGTCAGTCTGTGGTATCATGAAATACTGGATAACGCTGTCAACATGTGTCTAGTCATACGAATGGAACAAAAAAAGAGAATCTATCTTGAAGAAATAATTCTAGGAACAGTTGGCTGCAATGGGCAATTAATACAGGGTGACGTACACAATATGTTTCTAGTCATTCGAATGGGACGTGCAAAAAAAAACCCCAATCAAATACAGATTACAGATGCTTTACGCACGACCAAAGGACTTTCTCGTTGATTAAAATAAATACGCAAATACAATCTGTTTCTAATCTAGATTAAATGAGTTTTTAGTGGTGACTTGAAAATTGTGAATCTTTAAGATCCTTTAATTTTTAATGGCGGAGGGGTTGAATGGACGAATGGTTAGTGCGTGCGCGTTGTATCAATAATGTTTGTCATATTGAGTCAACTGGCGTGGGTTCGATTCCCAGGTTGTACGCAATAAGGAGTAGGGTCGCCTGTCCAACCTCGTTGGTTTTCTCCGGGTCCTCCGGTTTCATCTCACTTCAAAAGACCCCTACGCGCAAGCAAATTATTGAAAAAAAACTGAACCATGTTAGTCCCGAAATGACAATGTTTGTGTCGAGAGGACCTCTCTCTCTCTCTCTCTCTCTCTCTCTGGCAACAAATTCCAAACGTTTTAGTTTAGTTTAGTGTTAGAAATAGCAAGCATGTTTTTGTCCCCCGCCTTTCGAAGAAAGCAGGGGACTATTAAAATGGGTTCGTCCGTCTGTCTGTCCGTCTGTCTGTCCGTCCGTCCGTTCGTCTGTCTGTCCGTCACACTTTTTGGGACACAATAACTCTCTTCCTAATTGAGCTAGAATGTTCAAACTTGGTGTATGTGTTTATTAGGTCAATGCCTTGATGGAGTTCGAAGATGAGCATTTTCCGCTTAGGGTAAGCAGAGATAAGCAATTTGATTGGTTGATGCTTTGGGACACGATAACTCTCTTCCTAATTGGGCTAGAATGTTCAAACTTGGTGTATGTGTTGATTAGGTCAATGCCTTGATGGAGTTCGAAGATGAGCATTTTCCGCTTAGGGTAAGCAGAGATAAGCAATTTGATTGGTTGATGCTTTGGGACACGATAACTTTTAATTGAGCTAGAATGTTCAAACTTGGTGTATGTGTTTATTAGGTCAATGCCTTGATGGAGTTCGAAGATGAGCATTTTCCGCTTAGGGTAAGCAGAGATAAGCAATTTGATTGGTTGATACTTTGGGGCACGATAACTCTCTTCCTAATTGAGCTAGAATGTTCAAACTTGGTGTATGTGTTGATTAGGTCAATGCCTTGATGGAGTTCGAAGATGAGCATTTTCCGCTTAGGGTAAGCAGAGATAAGCAATTTGATTGGTTGATGCTTTGGGACACGATAACTTTAGTTCTAATTAAGTGAGATTGATGAAACTTGGTGTATAGTTTCATTACAGTAATACCTTGACTAAGTTTGATAATGAGCATTTTCTGCTCAGGGTAAGCAGAGCGATACGCAATTTGATTGGTCGAGACTTTGGAAAACAATAACTCTCCTACTTTGATTGTTAGACTATAAGTAAAGATATACTGTTTGATTGTTCAATACTTTGTAAAAGATAATTTGTGATAAATTTATATGTGTCCTCTAATTATTTTCCTATTTCCGCGGGGGACATCAGCCTCACTGTTGGCTTGTTGATATTCGATCTTAGGGATTACAGTTTGTCAAAAGTTCAGATAAATATAAGGGGACGAAATGATTTCGACATTGATAGACTAATGACAGAACTTTATACTGGAATCCAGGGTTCGACATTCAATCAAATGAAATGAAATGGGGTTTAACGTCCTACTGTTCTGCTCCTAACCTGGGCTAATGAAGACGGGCATACGCCATACAGTGTGCTATGAGGGAAATTTTGCCCGGACAGCGGCACTACGGCCTACTCTTATATCGAATTCCAACTGCCAAGGGATCTTTTACGTGCACGCCAATGTGTACACGGGGCCTCGGTTTTTCGTCCCATCCGAACGACTAGACAGCTTTCCTTGTCAGCCCCTCCGTCCTGCATCACTGACAATCTGGATGAACTTTCTCGGCCAATGCAGGGATCGAACATCCGACCTCCAGGCTAGCGAGCTAGCGTCTTACCCACTTAGCCACGTGATCCCCGACATTTAACCAGTGGAGCGACTTTAACATGGATGATATGTGTAAATACAGTTTGTAATGATCCGCTGTGTGTTACCTAATACAACAACTTAATGTTACCTACCTGTATATAACAGTACCTGTCGTCTATATACAACAACCTACCTGTATATAACAGTACCTGTCGATCATACTATACATCAACCTACCTGTATATAAGTCCCGTAGAGAGGGAGATAACTCTTTTTAACCTGACAAATTATTTTAGTTCAGTACAGTTATATCAGCCCACCATTGTATCAACTTGTATCAACTGATAACACTTCTCAGCTGAAGAATACAATAGGAAATTAATTTATCAAAGGCTCTGTTATTTTAAATATAATATTTTACAGGTTACACAAATGTGAATATTTACTTCATGCATACAGTTTACTATTTACAGTTTAAAATAGGTAGATATGTGTTCCTTGTTGGGGGGGGGGGGGGCGTGTATAATATTAACATAGTCTTGACCATGTATCATATTAACATAGACTTGATCATCATAGGTATACCATGCATCATTATTAACATAGACTTGATCGTCCTAGCTATTATACCATGTATCATATACTGAGCGCCATGGAAAACGCATCACTTTTTTTCCCAAATATTTTATTACTAGGTGGTTTTGTATGTATAATATAATGCAATACTATGAACTATTGTTTCACACAATGCTCCCAAACGCAAAAAAAAATCGGGCCGTGTGCACAAAAAAAAAATTGCACGAGATGCACATGAAAAACCCAATATTCACGTGCAGCATTGTGTGTGAGCCCTTTAAAAGCATGTTTTCAACTTAATGTGCAGTACATGAACTGTGAAACGTGAATCTGTCGTAATTTGTTGTTGGACGTGTGAAGGAATCGAGCTAGACATGCCGAGACTTACTGAAAATCAACGGAATGAAGCCATGGGAATGTCCAGGGCTGGCATTTCTACACGTGCTATTGATATGGGCTCGAGGACACCAGACATGGAGAAGAGTAGACTGGCAAAGTGTACTCTTCAATGATGAGAGTGATGAGAGTAGCTTTCATCTTTATCACGCTGATGGCCGTCAACGTGTGTGGAGACGTCTTGGGGAACGTCTTGCAGACTGCTGCGTCTTCGAAACGAATAGATGGGGTGGGGGAAGTGTAATGGTGTGGGGAGGCTTCACATTTCATCACCGGACCGCCCTACACATTTGCAGGAGTAGCGTTAATGCTGTAGCCTACCGTGATGATGTCTTGCAACCAATTGTTGTTCCGATGTTTCGAGTGCACCCACAACTTCAGCACTTCCAACAGGATAATGCACTTCCGCATACCGCCCGTTTTAGTATGGACTACCTGGCTGCTAACAACATTAATGTCTTGGACTGGCCAGCCATGTCTCCGAACATGGCACCGATAGAACATGTCTGGGATGGGATTTGACGCCGTCTGTATCGGAGACCACAGATGCACACCATTGCTGCTTTAGAAGCTGCTCTTGTCCAAGAATGGAACAATTTGCCCCAGGCCTTCTTTCAAACATTGGTAAATTCCATGCGACGTCGCTGCACAGCGTGCGTAAGAGCCCGTGGGGGACACACGCGCTACTGACGTCTGTGTCGTACTTTTGGTTTTGACCCCTCTAACTTTGTACAATTGATTACAAATTAAACATCCATAAGTGTACAAATGTGTTGTTATTGATGTGTTCCCATTTGAATATTGTTCACAATAAGAAGCAAAATAAATAAGATATGTTTACAGGATCATTTTGTTATACGAAAAACTAAGTGATGCGTTTTCCATGGCGCTCAGTATATTAACATAGACTTCATCGTCTCGGCTATACCATGGATCATATTAACATGGACTTAGTCGTCATGAAATGAAACGTTCTACTTTTCTGCTCCTAACCTGGGCTAATGAAGACGGGCATACGCCATACAGTGTGCTATGAGGGAAATTTTTTGCCCGGGCAGCGGCGATACGGCCTACTCTTATATCGAATTCTATCTGCCAAGGGATCTTTTACGTGCACGCCAATGTGTACACGGGACCTCGGGTTTTCGTCCAATCCGAACGACTAGACAGCTGTCCTTGTCAGGCCCCCCATCCTGCATCACTGACAAGGGGAAACCACGCCGGAAAATCTGGATGAACTTTCTCGGCCAATGCAGGGATGGAACACGCGACTTCCAGGTCAGCGAGCCAGCGTCTTACCCACTTAGCCACGTGATCCATGTATCATATTAACATAGACGTGATCATCATAGATTACCTTGAATAAGTTAACATAGACTTGATGTTCATAACTACCATGTATTTTTTATTAATGTCAGATTTCTTGGAGGATTCATTTGTCCGGCACTAATTAACCCGGGAGCCACGGTGACTCAGTGCTAAAAGATGTTGAAGGGGGGGGGGGCGAATGGTTAACGCGTACGCATTGGATCATAAGGTCTGCCATTGGAGAAATGACATCTCTTTATCTAATCTTCCATAATATCCCTTTTTATAAGTATTAACACTAGATTACGATACGTTAAAGGACTAATCCCGATAATTTTTGGAAAAATAAAACTGCTTGATTTTGTGTTAAAATCCCTTAAAATCCTCTACCCAAGGGACAAGCAACTAACTCAATATTTGTGATATGATTTCAAACAACTTAAACCTGTCAGTCTTCATCTGGAAATGGAAACTGGTGTATTATGCAGTGTCTGGATAAAACCAGACTTTTATTTTATAAAAAATAATGTGTAGGTGAAATTTACCATTCATTATCAAGTACAGCACATGCGTCGTTCACTGTATAGACCTCTCAAGGAACGGAAATCGATTATCAGGTCACCCAACGAAAAAATTGACTCGAAATCTTGAAAGGGTTACGTGTCCGGATAAGCATTTTTGATGTTCACGTCGAAACGACTCAATATTTTGAGCTGAAATTTTGAGACAAGGTAAATACACCATCCCTCTATATTTTGGCGCTTAAATTTCATACGTACTTGGACTTTTATTTTTGAGACTCTGTTCAAATTGGGAAAGTTCCTTTAAAGTTTAATACTGACACAAAATTAATATACAAACCATTTTTTTTATTCAAAATGAAATTAAAAGAATTTTCGTCGTGCGTGCAGTTTCTGTTCTTACACACAAGTAATATGGAATTTGGGTGTTTGTTGCATGGCAACCGTTTGTTGTATATTGTAGCTAAGAACAAGTAAAAAGGAATGTGGGCGTATCTTGCATGGCAACCGTTTGTTGTATATTGTATAAAAAACATTCATTATCAACTAATGATATTTCAGTACAGATACAAATCATAAGGGATCACGTGGCTAAGTGGGTAAGACGCTGGCTCGTTTACCTGGAGGTCGGGTGTTCGATCCCTGCATATGCCGAGAAAGTTCATCCCGATTTTACGGCGTGGTTTCCCCTTGTCAGTGATGCAGGATTTAGGGCCTGACAAGGACAGCTGTCTAGTCGTTCGGATGGGACGAAAAACCGAGATCCCGTGTACACATTGGCGTGCACGTAAAAGATCCCTTGACAGTTGGAATTCGGTATAAGAGTAGGCCGTAGCCTCGCTGCCCGGGCAAAATTTCCCTCATAGCACACTGTATGGCGTATGCCCGTCTTCATTAGCCCCTAGTACACCAAACCTCTAGCTTTTATAGAACTTTATAGATAACTATAATGTCTTTTTGTTCAATCTGTCATAAATCAAGAACAAGGTATAGATATTAAGCATAAAATGTGTTATTTAAGATACACTGTGTAAGAACTAAATCGGTTTATAGCAAGGTTTTTATTTGACTTCAAATGTTATATAAATTATTCACATGCCAGGCCAATAATAAACTAGATAGACCATCGGGTTGTCGAGAATTGAATGGCTTGAAACACGATCGCCATTTAATAATTAAATCTAAACTTGATGAATGGCTAAGATTAATGTAATTTCAATAAGATCCCATTATCTATTTTCAGATTAACCAACCGTATAAATACACGACAAACGTACTGAATTATAAACGTACTAAATTATATGAAAATATAATAAAAAATATATAAAGCACTATTTAGGTGCTATAAACTGTAAACTTTAAAATTGATATTTTTTTAGTGCCGATGTATATATAATAAAGAATATTACTACAATTAACATATATTTATTATCAAGACTAATTATCATTAATAACTATCAACCGATGTATAGTCATTCGGATAGAACGAAATACCGAGGTCGGTCCCGTGTACACATGCTTGCACGTAAAAGATCCCTTGGCAGTTGGAATTCGATATAAGAGTAGGCCGTGGCGCCGCTGTCCGGGCATAATTTCCCTCATAGCACACTGGCGTATATCTGTCTTTATTAGCCCAGTTAGAGAGATAGAGAGAGAAATGGGGTTTAACGTCCACTCGACACAAACTAGGTCATTTCGGGACTAACATATGTTTTAATCTTTTTATTTCAATAATTCGCTCTGCGCGTAGGGGTCTTTAGCAGTGGGAGGAAACCGGAGGACCCGGAAAAACCCCACGAGATTGGACAGGCGACCCTACTCCTTGTCACGTTCAACCGGGGAATCGAAACCCCACCAGTTGACTCAATGACAGACCGTATGATACAGCGCGCGCGTGCTAACCATTCGGCCATCCAACCCCCCCAGCCCATTTAGAAGCAGAACAGTAGGATGTGAAACCCCATTTCATTTCATATCATTTCGCTAACCAGGGGGTCTGGGATTCGCTCCCGATGCTGGCCTTGAAGGTTGCCCTCTGGATTTTCCGGCGTAATCCCCCATGGCAAGGACAGTGTCTAGTCTTTAGGATTGGACGAAAATCAGAATCCCGGTGTACGCATTGACGTGAACTTTATAGAAACCTTGGCAGTTGGAATTCGATATAAGAATGGACGCCAAAGCGCCTCTGTTTGGGCAAAAATTCCATCATAGCACACTATATATTGATAAAGAATTCTAGTCGAAACGTTGCCCGGTAATATACCGTTAAAGTATTCCATAGTTACTCGTGAACATGCCAGTCAATATACGTATTTATGCATATTATAATGTTTTTCTGCGATATAATTTAGCCTGTCTCGTAATATTCACCATATGTTTGGCCGCAATATAGCCCGGTTGGAGCTGAGGTGCCATAAAACCACATTTGATTTCATTTCATTTATTGAAAGTCGACGCCCATATTTACAAGCTTACGCAATACGTATAAATAGACTGGTTTTCCCGTTACTATATTATAGAATAGACTATGTTATCCAGACATAAATAAACACCTACTGAACAGACAATTGTGGATTATTCATTCAGATAGTTACAACACTATTTATTATATTGATATATTTAGGTTATCTTAAACACCAGGAATTTATTATATTCGTTTTAAAAAGTCGGGATTATATTCTTTATCGAGAATGGATATTCATGAGTGTAGAAATATTATAATTATTTATCGTACTTGATCTAGCTTAACGTAAATAGTAGTGAGACAGGTTATACAAGACTAAAACTCGTCATTAATACACTATACATAGACTGTGTTTTTCCAATGGGTAATTTTTATAGAACCCCCTTGATCTAGTGTTATACAGTTCTGTTTGTCTTTAGTAAGGTTCTAAGGGAACTCTAGTAGAAGAAAGTTGTCATAGAATAATAAGGATAAGAAGAATGGCCACCCCAGTAAGTACAACTACGTCATGTTTATAAAATAACACGTCAGTTTATGACGTCAATAACTAACCATCGTAATCTTGATAATGACTGTCTTACCTCTCGTAGAATACAAATACTGACGAGTGAGTACACGAAGCAGTGTATGTTTACTCCTATACTTGATACAACTAGTGTCTCTACATCTATGAGAGTCGTGTTGATGTAATAATTTACAAGTTCACTGGTTATACTTGCCTATTATTGTTAAAGCACTGTGTAGGGTGCGCTTTAGATCATAAGGGCTGTCATAGATTCAAGTGGAGTGGTTTTGATCCGAGCATGTACCGACAAGGAGTAGGGTCACCTGTCCAACCTCGCGTTTTTCTCCTGGTCTTCCGTTTAATGGACGTTAAACCCTAGTTCTTTCCCAGTGAGGAACTGTGTTATTGTCATTCCCCATAGCACCCTCTTTCTGTCTGTGTCCACCAGCCCTAACAACATCTTCAACACGATAGAAACAGAAAGTAGGGTTTTAGCATTGAACGGAATGGTGGTTTTGTTGTCCCATGTCCACCGATCAGCAGCCGCGTACAAGGAAAGGGGAAGGAGGTAGACGGACTAGGTCATGGAATCTGGTAAGATGGAGAGGTGGAGGCGATCAAATATCCAATCAAAGAATTTAAATTTGGCCTACAGTCCAACATGCTGGTGTGAATGTGGATCGGTGTTATCAATAAACGAATCCATCTGTTTTTGTAAATATTCAAAATGTCTTGTCTTCTCACCTGTTTCAGTACTCGACCCTGTGTTTAAGTCAAGGAGTTTTCCCCAAGCATCAACAAACTTCTGTACGCCACTGGTCAACCGAGCATCTCAAACTAGAGATTCAACGCATGCGCTTAATTTACAGCTCTCTTTCTGATATTTATACTCGTCGATGATTATCATATCTAAGAAGAGAGATATTGTTGTAATAATATTTACAAGTAGAGACTGGTTGTTTATTTATTTTCTATTCCAGTTATCAACCGTTAACCACAATACCTACAACATGTATAATATACATGGTGATTGTCAAGCTGTACAGATTGGAACATCAAACACAATAAATGAAACTACTAACCAGACCGACAGTGATGATTGCACATCCGATATGGAAGATGTGAGATTCCAGATGAATCGGATAAAGGAACAATTTGAACGAAAAGATGAGGAAATAGCTGAATTGAAAAATAGGGTTGCTGACCTGGAAGAATTTAAGAAGAAAGTAGAACAATCAGAAGTCAAGACAAACGCCAACACTAATACTAGACGTTATGTCAGGGATACGAGTAATGCTATTACTCTAAAGTTTTTTAAACCGTAAGTAAATGTGTTCATAATAATATATATTTTGACAACTGTCAAATTTTACATACTGTTACAAGAGTCTTGAGTTTTAACTAATATCGAATGATGAAGTTTCTATATCACGTGACTTGAATAACAACCAACTAGAGGTGACTTGAATAATATACTGACTAGTGAAACAGTGGGATGTACTTTACAATATCCATAGTCAAAATAGTATTATATATTTAATAGTGTATTTAATAATAAGGGCTCAAGACAATGATTTTATCAATAATTTATCATTTAAATAATTTATAATACTCGTGTTTCTAAGGTTTACAAAGATGATTATTGATAATGATATATTAACCTGTATTTATATCTATGGTGGCTGATTGGTAAGGAAATGAAATAAAATGAAATGGGGTTTAACGTCCAGCTGTTCTGCTCCGGGAGTCACAGTGGCTAAGTGATTAAGGCGCTGGCTCGCTGGTCTTGACGTCGCGGGTTCGCCACCGGTGTTGGTCGACAAAGTTCATCAATATTTCCCTTTTTCAGGGATGCAGGAAGGAGGGCCTGACAAGGACAGCTATCTAGTCGTTCGGATGGGACAAAAAACCGAGGTCCTGTGTATATATTGGCGCGCACGGAAAAGATCCCTTGGCAATTGGAATTCGGTATAAGAGTAGGCCGTAGCGGGGCTGTCCGGGTAAAATATCCCTCATAACACACTGAATGGTATAAACCCGTCTTCATTAACCCAGTCGGAGCAGAACAGTAGGATGTTAAACTCCATTTCAACTAGTTTCATTCTGCTCCGACTGGGCTAATGAAGACGGACACGCCCTATACAGTGTACTGTGAGGGAAACTTTACCCGGATAGCGGCGCTACGACCTACTCTTATATTGAATTCAAACTGTCAGGCGGGTCCTATACGTGCACGCCAGTATGTAAATGGGGCCTCGGTTTTCCGTCTCATCCGAACTACTATACTACTGTCCCTTGCCAGCCCCCCCCCCCCCCGTCCTGCACCACTGTCAAAGAGGAATCTCTCCAGAAATGTGGCTTAATGTCCTACTTTTCTGGTAGTCACGGTGACTCAGTGAATAAGACGATGGCTCGCTAACGTTGAGGTCTTGTGTTCAATCACTGCATTGGTCGAGAAAGCTCATCGGGGATAACGTATAGTCTTTTGGGTGGGACGAAAAATCGAAGTTCCGTGTACAGATAGAATTCAAGATAAGAGTAGGCCTTATAGCGCTGCTATCCGGGCAAAGTTTCCCTCACAGTGCACTGTATAGCCTATGCCCGTCTTCATTAAGCAGAACAGTAGAACGTTAAACACAATTTCATTTCATTCAATTTTCCTACTTTTCTGCACCGATCGGGCTATTGAAGATAGGCATGCGCAATGCAAAGTACTATGACGGAAATTTTCAATTTTCGAAACTCAACTGTGAAGGATTCTTCTATGTGCTCGCCAATTTGTACACAGAAGCTTGTTTTTTGTCCCATCTACACAACTAGACACTGTACTTTGTCAGACCCGTCGTCCTGCACTACCGACAGGGAGGAACCACGCTGCAAAATCCCGGGGAACTTTCTTGACCAACACCAGGATCAGTGTATATAATCATAGTATTGAGAGGAATATGGCCGATAACCCAACATCACAACATGATACCAATCAGCCACCATATATATCAGTTGATAATGATATAATATATTAACCTGTATTTATATCAGTTGATAATGATATAATATATTAACCTGTATTTATAGATGGGGAAATACGGGTACTATAACTGTCAGTAAGAAAGTCAGTGTTAATGATTTAATGAAGTTGATAGAAGAGAAGGAGAATAAGAAGATTAGAGGGATTGTTATAGTGAGATATAGAGATGGTAGTATTAGACAGATCTACTACACTACTACCAACAAGAACAAGAACGACTATAGCCTGGAACAACTTGGTGTTGTAGACCAGGACCAGGTTTACTACTATGAATAGTAAAATATAGAGATTATATTGATATGATGTATTTATGGTCTCCTTTATATTGAACAATGAGGGGGGGGGGTAGATATTACTTATAGTAAAATATAATGGACGAACCAGAACGAGGTTAGGTATTATTATCTTATTGTCTCTTGATTAGGTTGTGAGGGTGGAATAAAGTAAAATGTTTGAGTGGTGTTGTGGGTGATGTGGTGTGGTGGTGTGGGTGCTAAGTTAGTGAAGAGATTTATCAACCACACCAGCACCCTAACCAAGTATCTTATACCCCCTTCGCCCCCCCCCCCCCCAACCCCCATGATTGATATATTGAATCTTACTCTAAGTAATATCTTACCTGTCCCACCTGTTCCACCTGATTGATATATTGAATCTTACTCTAAGTAATATCTTACCTGTCTCACCTGTCCCACCTGATTGATATATTGAATCTTACTCTAAGTAATATCTAACATCCTAATATAAAACTCGCTTACTACTGTAAATAAAGCTGTAATTCAATAGTCACGATTATCAGGTGATATGTAGTCGTGATCATGTGATAACTAACTGACATGTATATAATATATAATTATATTAGTGAAACAATGTTTTATATTTTGTATTCTAATTTTGTTTCAATAAAATATTTTATAACTAAACTAATGTCGTTCTACTAATATTTCTATGGTGTCAGGAAATGAGATAGTTACCACTAACAGAGGGGGTCAGTCTGTGGTATCATGAAATACTGGATAACGCTGTCAACATGTGTCTAGTCATACGAATGGAACAAAAAAAAGAGAATCTATCTTGAAGAAATAATTCTAGGAACAGTTGGCTGCAATGGGCAATTAATACAGGGTGACGTACACAATATGTTTCTAGTCATTCGAATGGGACGTGCAAAAAAAAAAACTCCAATCAAATACAGATTACAGATGCTTTACGCACGACCAAAGGACTTTCTCGTTGATTAAAATAAATACGCAAATACAATCTGTTTCTAATCTAGATTAAATGAGTTTTTAGTGGTGACTTGAAAATTGTGAATCTTTAAGATCCTTTAATTTTTAATGGCGGAGGGGTTGAATGGACGAATGGTTAGTGCGTGCGCGTTGTATCAATAATGTTTGTCATATTGAGTCAACTGGCGTGGGTTCGATTCCCAGGTTGTACGCGATAAGGAGTAGGGTCGCCTGTCCAACCTCGTTGGTTTTCTCCGGGTCCTCCGGTTTCATCTCACTTCAAAAGACCCCTACGCGCAAGCAAATTATTGAAAAAAAACTGAACCATGTTAGTCCCGAAATGACAATGTTTGTGTCGAGAGGACCTCTCTCTCTCTCTCTGGCAACAAATTCCAAACGTTTTAGTTTTTTTTTTGTTTTTTTTTTATTTATTTAATTCACAAAAATATTGCACACATACAAAATTAAAACAATAAAAGTTACATCAGTTTAAAGTCACCATCTAATTAAATTTGATATTGATTTTATCATTAATTTCTATATAGGAATTCATTGAAAATAGTAATAAATATTTATGTCGATTACTGTGCTTTGACATATACTGATACAAGTAATTCATGTGTTTGGTTACCATCAATTGTAGCATGTCTAGTGAATTGAGACTGGTCCGGGCGTTTATGTCTGTAAATGTCACATAAAATATTGGTATTTAAAAAAGAATTGAAAGCTAAGGATGACCTTTTGTTGGTGTACATATTCTTCGTTCTATCTAAATAGGGGTTTAATATCTCGTTAAAATCACCACATAATATACTATAACTATCCGAATCTATGTAGCTACTTAACTCATTAAAAAAGATTATACGATCATTATCCTTATTTGGAGCATATATAGATAAAATTGAAATATTTTTTTCCTCAATTAAAACATTAACTTTAATTATTCTGCCAGTAGTATTACTATGAACATGTTGAATACATGATTTGAATTTTACGGAAAATAGAATAGCCACACCCTTACGGTGTACGTCCGGGGCGTTATTAAATAAAATTTCGCCTTCCCATAGGTGTTTTATGTTATTAACAAAGACATCGTCCCAAAAGGTTTCCTGTAGACATATAATATCAAGTTTTAAGTCTTTTATGAAATGAAATACATTATTAAGTTTAGTACGGTCCCGCAGACCGTTTACGTTCCATGAGGCTATCTTAATCATTATAATTATTGTTAAAAGAGAGGTAGACGAATACATGTATGCTTACGAGTTCAACCTGTAGATAATCACAAATAAATAAATGTATACTTATATTTACAGCATCTAGTTAACAGACACGGATATACAATGAAGGCTCTATAGATCAATCCATCTAAAGTGATACAATATCTAAAATAAAAATCAAGAGAGTGAAACACCAGCACATAAATGTATACATGTAGCATGTAAAAAAGTATATGCCCACAAGCAGCTACGGTTAGATCAATTTTATTAAAGGGGAATAACCCTTGAAACGTTAATGTTGAAAACGTGTAAAACATTTGAAAAGTTCTATTGTAGAAATCTCTGGAAAATAATTCCTGGTACATCAGAGAGGTCGTCGAAAGCGATTTAATTCGTACATGAATATTCTGAACGTATCTGCACATATACACATGATCAAAGCTGGGGGACAAAAGGAAAGGATTATATATCAAACTTATTATTTGTTTGGCGATTTGGTTGGGATCCTGGATTTTACATTTGTTCCACACGATTTTTTAGATTCAGAATCTTCGCTAATCGACGGCAAGCGTTTAAATCTATGTGTCTGTTCATTAACCTTTTTCTTTCTATCTCGATTCCTTTTCTCTGTTTTGTAATTAGTTTCATTCGTCTTTTTCTATACCTGGTTGAATATGTTTGGAAAGCGTTTTCATCTTCTTTTTCCTCAGAATCACTACTAACAGAATCACTACTAACAGAAACACATACCTGTTCTTTTTCTATTTCTTCCGTGTTTTCTATTTCTATATCTTTCGTCTTTTCTATTTCTATGTCTTCCGTCTTTTCTCTTTCTATTTCTTCGTCTACTTCACCCGTGTGTTTCTCTATCTCACCCTCTTCTATTTGTTCATTGTTGTCTGTAGTCGTGTTGTTGTTTCCTGACTCGGGTTTATTTAGTGGATTGTTTTCACAGTCGACTGTCTGATTACAAATACATAGATTTTTAGATTTATAACATTCTTCACATACAGTTAATTCACATTCAAATTTTGTGTGGCCTGTCTCTTTGTATCTATGACATATTATATTTGGGCAATTTTTAACTTCATGTCCCGTCTGTATACAATTATAACAGACACGGAGTTGGTTATCATGTTTTACATGGAAGGACCGACCATCAAACTTCGTCGCATATGGTAGACTCTGGACATGAGGGGGAAATTCAACTTTAAGATATCTGGTACCATCAGATATACTCCGATCACCATGTTTATAATACCGACGTCTTTTCTCGCTTTTGGGCTTGACATTCCATGCATGTAATTTTTCGTAAATTTCACCATCTTCAATATAGTGTGGTATGTGCATGAATGATACTATTTTAACAGTTGAAGCCACGAAAGTATATTCTAATACTACCCCATTTAGTCTGATGTTTTCATCCTTAAGTTTATTTAAGCAATCAGAAATTTCAAACGTTACCTCATAACATCCTTTCATTGGGACACATGCACAAATAGTATCCGTACCAGTGACTTCTTCTATAGCATCAATTAGATGTCCCGTATTCAATCTGTCATCAGAATATACACATATGGAACTATCTTTCATCAGAATATACACATATGGAACTATCTTTTAAATACATCTTCATTTTATCACTAGATTTCAAGCAGCTAATAAAGTAAGTATTTCTCAATCCAAGTCCGAGTACAAAGCGCAACACGGATTATACCCATGGTGTTTACAAGCAAAGCAGAGCTCGTATAAACACGTCCGTCCAGCTCGACAAACGCCTTAACCCTGGCACATTTTTGCTCAATTTATATACCTATTTCGCTTTATATAACTTCGATTATAGTCGATTTACATGTGCATTCTGATAATACGTCTATCACTCATGAAATCAAACCGGAAGTCCCTTTTTAGTGGTGACTTGAAAATTGTGAATCTTTAAGATCCTTTAATTTTTAATGGCGGAGGGGTTGAATGGACGAATGGTTAGTGCGTGCGCGTTGTATCAATAATGTTTGTCATATTGAGTCAACTGGCGTGGGTTCGATTCCCAGGTTGTACGCGATAAGGAGTAGGGTCGCCTGTCCAACCTCGTTGGTTTTCTCCGGGTCCTCCGGTTTCATCTCACTTCAAAAGACCCCTACGCGCAAGCAAATTATTGAAAAAAAAACTGAACCATGTTAGTCCCGAAATGACAATGTTTGTGTCGAGAGGACCTCTCTCTCTTTCTCTCTCTCTCTCTCTCTCTCTGGCAACAAATTCCAAACGTTTTAGTTTAGTTTAGTGTTAGAAATAGCAAGCATGTTTTTGATATTCGATCTTAGGGATTACAGTTTGTCAAAAGTTCAGATAAATATAAGGGGACGAAATGATTTCGACATTGATAGACTAATGACAGAACTTTATACTGGAATCCAGGGTTCGACATTCAACCAAATGAAATGAAATGAAATGAAATGAAATGAAATGGGGTTTAACGGCCTACTGTTCTGCTCCTAACCTGGGCTAATGAAGACGGGCATACGCCATACAGTGTGCTATGAGGGAAATTTTGCCCGGACAGTGGCACTACGGCCTACTCTTATATCGAATTCCAACTGCCAAGGGATCTTTTACGTGCACGCCAATGTGTACACGGGGCCTCGGTTTTTCGTCCCACCCGAACGACTAGACAGCTTTCCTTGTCAGCCCCTCCGTCCTGCATCACTGACAATCTGGATGAACTTTCTCGGCCAATGCAGGGATCGAACATCCAACCTCCAGGCTAGCGAGCTAGCGTCTTACCCACTTAGCCACGTGATTCCCGACATTCAACCAGTGGAGCGACTTTAACATGGATGATATGTGTAAATACAGTTTGTAATGATCCGCTGTGTGGTACCTAATACAACAACTTAATGTTACCTACCTGTATATAACAGTACCTGTCGTCTATATACAACAACCTACCTGTATATAACAGTACCTGTCGATCATACTAAACATCAACCTACCTGTATATAAGTCCCGTAGAGAGGGAGATAACTCTTTTTAACCTGACAAATTATTTTAGTTCAGTACAGTTATATCAGCCTACCATTGTATCAACTTGTATGTAGTAGTTATTAGCACCCTTTCCGAGGTGTATCGGTGAATATCAGGACAGTTTTGGTCGAGGGGCCCAGCCGAGGCGAAGCCGAGGAAAGGTGCTAATAAGTTACTTCTCTTTACATTTCTATCGAGTATTGTGAACCAACATGTGAAAAATAGTATTTATCATAGAGTCGTTTCAACCGAAAAGTGACAAATACTTTCTGCTCTTTCATTATTTATCCCTTTCTGAGCCTCACGTTACATTTCATGGTAGAATGATTTCGCTGTGGAGAGACGACCTGAGTAGTATTTACACGTGCGTCTTGCTATGATACTCTGAGCGTAAAACAATCACGTGTTTGTTTAGACCACACCGTCAAAACATCTTATCTATGGCGTAGAGGACTGCGATATTATTAAATGTAGCGTAAAGGAAATGCGAAACGTGGGTCATTCCTGGTGAAAGTATGCATCGGCGGATGGTTCTTCCGTTGAAATTTATTTGTAATAAAGTTTATGACTTTCTAGGTGTTTTTTTCATCCTGCTTATTATCATTGCCTGTGAAGTGTCCAGCAAGAGAACTGCGCCTTCTATCATCACAATTAATTAAAATAATTATTCAATATTCTAATATATATATATTTTGCATATTAATATAAATCAAACCAAATTATAAAATAGATGCCAATTGATATGTATAATAATTGATTTTTGTAATATGTTGTTATGTTAATTTAATGTCATTATATATGTTTTTGAACTGCCATGTAGTTCCCCCCATTTTGTTTTGTTACTATGATTTTGACTAGTTGTTTCATGTACATTGGTTAGAGCCATCGTCTTCATTTACGATCTGGATCGGACTAAACGTCCGCTACTGATTGCTTGATAGGTATCTAAAACGGTTTAAAAGTATCCGTGTATCAGAAATGAACAGTACTCTTTCTGTACATTACTGATACACGGATACTTTTAAGCATGTATTGCGATTAAACAGGACAGTTTTATCAAAGGTTACCAGTGGCAATGAGTAGAAGTGGGATGTAACAACTGTTAACACTTCTCAGCTGAATAATACAACAGGAAATTAATTTATCAAAGGTTCTTTAGTTTAAATATAATATTTTACACGTTACACAAATGCGAAT